ATTTCGTAAGGTAATATTTTTTTCTGGGAGTGGATAAATACAATATATTTCGGTATTCTTACAATTCGCGTACGTGTTTTTCTGAATTGAAATGTAAGTTCAGTATGATTAAAGATAGTCATCGAGTCATACCAAGAAGCTGGAAGACCTAAAATTACACATGACCTCATCACCTCACATCGCATACCAGCTGTACAACATTTTCATTAACCTTACCTCAAGAATGACATAACTTATTCGAGTAAACAGTAGTCTGTGTTATTCTTAAACACAGCATATACCAAAGCTGTTTGTTTTCTTTTCTTGTTTTTTTGTTTGTTTTTCGTTTAATCAACGTTCGATGTCTATAGCTATCAAGGGCGGCAGGTCACACTTATGTCTCTAGTGTGTAACTTAATATTACGGACATTGTCACTCAAGATGCTTTATCTTAGAATATTAATTTACACACTTAATGCTTTTAAAATATACACTTTTTTAACAGTCTACAAATAAGGCGTTAAACAACAAACAAACCAAACCAAAACGAATAGTCAAGATACCCTTCAATCGTGACTTTTAATGCGGAACACACAGTTAGTGGCAATTTGTGGTTTCATTACAAAGAACATATGGAGGTACGGATGAAAACTATCATCCTCGGTTATCCAGGGTATAATATATCTCCATTCTATTCTAATAAATACCCCAGACCCATTTACCATAAATGCTTTAATTCGTTTTAGCAGTGTCGTTACCATCTCAATATCTCTTATCACTATATTATAATGTCTCTCGCTAAAGAATGTTGTGGTTGGAAATCCCTATCGTCAACGCCAGAGAACAGTCTTATCCATCCGCCGAAACAGAGTCCATTGGGCGTTAAAGGCAAATTAGGGTAGAAAATAATATGAATGGATCACTCAAAATCAGTGATGACACCCAGTGCTCGCGAATAGGGTAAGTACGTCATGCCTAACTGGCAGCACCCGCCACTCACAATAAAAAAAATGTGTTTGGTGTCCTATTGCCGACAGAAATACTCCTGCCACACGACGGTTGCTTGTGAACAATAGATTCTTAACCCGAAAATCAAGTGATGATCATGACCAGACAGTCATGTGACACCATACCGCATTTTCTGACATTTTGAAACTAAAATGCTATTTTACCGTTATGTAATTTGAATCGGGCTCCAAACAACGCCATGGCAGCCAATTGTTCCAGTGTATTTATCATAACTGAATGAAGAAATAATCAGGAATTGATTTCCACTGTGTGAGGGTCATTCTGCTCCGACGCCCATACAGTTTTGCCTTCACTCTATGAAGGTTCATACTCCAATGGCCCGCCTCCGTGGTCTACTGGTAGAGCGTCCGCCCGGAGAGCGGAAGGTCCGGGGTTCGATCCCCGACCGCGTCATACCAAAAGACGTCAAAAGATGTTACTTGTTGTAACCCTGTCTGGCGTTTGGCATTAAGGGTCTAAAACAAGGACTGGTCGGCTCGGAGTCGGTATACTGTGTCTGAGTTTGGTATTCATGTTAAACTGCGGCATGGTATCTCAGTGAGCTAGCACTATAAATCGGCATCAAGTCCGGACTAGTACAAACAGCCACACAAACACACACACGTACATGCACGTCGCTATATAAGTGCAATAATCTTGGACGCGACGTTAAACCCCATTTCACCTCACCTCATACTCCAAAGTGAAAGTCAATTCTTATAATTTTTTATATCCCTATTTTTCGCCTCGAAGGATCTATTTAATGTTTTTTTTATCTAAAGTGGTACGTGTGACTTCATGTTTACACAGACAGCCATACAACAACCAGTTGTACCGCGGAATAAAGCAGTTCCCGAAAAGCAGAGGTGACATGAGCGTATGCATGCTCAACTTGCTTTACAGGAATATCTGTTGTAGTTTGTTTACCACAAATGTCTTCAAATAATGTCACCATTGGACGAGAAAGGTCTGTTAGGAGCTACCTCAGTAAGTCAGTCACAATGACAGCGCGTCGTAATACATTTACATCAAGTACAAAACGTCAAAATATCAGACACGATAAACGTGACAGGAGAGATTTCCGAAGTTGTTCATAAACCTGTGGTTGGTACATGTGTTACATCATTGATCAATTGTCCGATCACTGAAAAATGACTATAAAAATGTGTCAAATTGACGATAAGGTAAATTCATAGGTCGCTATTGACTGTCACTGCCAGTCTAGACACGTATCTTGTCGATACTACGATATTTTGGATGAGTCACCAGTGTGGGTCGTATCGAGGATATTCGTGAACGATCATGAGTCAAAGTCTCTGGCGTTTTTTAATGTTCAGGATTGAGGGTCTGAATGATATAAACAACGATATAAACCTGCTAATAACAAGACTGACCAGATTAACGAGTGAGTGATGTTGGCTTAACGCCATTTTGAACAATATTTCAGTTTCATCACGGTGTGACAGCGAATGAAGACCAAAGTGGACAAAGAGTCAGACGTTTTCCACTTTCACGAAACCCACGAGCATGAGTATATTGTTGACAAACCTTTGAATATATTAATGAAGACGAATCGGACATTCGAATGTACGATCATAAAGAACTGGCACACCTAAGGGACGCAACTCTGCACGGATATTTTGGGACCTTAGACAACTGGGCTATCAGTGCCCCCCAAAATGTCTTAACGCTTGATGTGTTACTTGATACTGAATTACACCTCCAGGTGTGGTAATCCAACAGGTGTGATCTGAGGCCAAGGTGTGTCAATGACACGCATACCAGGCTTTATCCACAGTGAAAAGAAATGCTAAATTATTCCTGTCACATGTATATAGGCTGAATTTTCAGAGCGAGGAGGAGGGGGACGGTTAATCGAACAAACCGGAAACAGACCTCAGCACGTGACATTAACAAAAAAAATAGACACCCAGGACCAAGAGGCAGGACCACAAAAGGTCACGACCCCGCGAGACCTTGTCAAAAACGTGTCGCATGGAACAGACCGTTCCCAAGAACGACGAACAGACAAACTGGGTTAAGTCTACAAGAGGAGGGGCGGATAAGGGAGAGTCACGCGGACATGTTACATTGTGGCGCAGGCGTCACATACAGAGATACATGGTTTATATACACGATCGGGGCGTGGAGACAGGGCGGAGGGGCCCGAACTAAGAGTTTATGGTCATTCGGTTAAATGCGTGGTCAGTGTCGGGGATGACATCTACTTGACGCCATGTCCAAATGGCAGATTTTCACGGTTACATGTAACAGAGGTTTTTGGAAGAACGCTGTTTTTCTCAAGGTATTTTCAAAATATACGTCCACGGCTAGAAAGTGACGTATGACGGGTGGGGACTTTATTGAATAGATACTTCAATTATTAGGTGCATGAACTTGACAAGGAGACATGATGTTTGTTTTTTTGCAATTCAAAACTCGGTGGTAGTCCCTCAACATGTCATATGCACATAAACAGTGTTGATATATAATATTAAAATACTAAGGTGTGATGTTATGGTTGACAACCCTTATACATCCCCCAGTCCCTGTAACTGATTGTAAATGGTTTGAATACTAAACCATTTCATTTTCAAAAGAAATCTCTGCTAACGGGACATTCTATTGAATGATTGGATGGTCATGTATTATATTCATGTACAATTCTAAGAGAAGGGTTCACTCGAAGAAAAAAGTCCGACCGCGTCAAACCAAAAGACGCTACATGATGGTACTTGTTGTTACCCTGCCTGGCTCTCTGCATTATGGGGCTAGAACAAGGACTGGTGGACGTGGACTCAGTAAACTATGTCTGAATGGGTTATCCATGTACAACAGCGGCATGGTATCTCAGTGGGATAGGGTTATAAAACCGGATTTAGTCCTCTCACACACACACACACACACACACACACACACACACACACACACACACACACACACACACACACACGTCGCTATATGAGTGCAACGTGACGTTAAAAAGCCTATTTCACCTCACCTCACCTTTAGCATGATGAGCGAACACATCAACCACTAGGCTTCCCACAGCCCGAATCGCTATAAGGAATATACAAACATAGATATGTTTTCTTGTTGTTTATGTGTTTGTTGCAAATATATTTTCTTGTGAAATGGTGCCGCTATATAAGTGCAATAATCTTGAACGCGACGTTAAACCTAATTTCACATCAACTTTACTATGACTTTGTAATCAATGTCTTATGTAAACCTGAGTGAGAATGATTTTACGCCCTTTTTAGCAATATTCCAGCAAAATCACCGCTTCAACACATGGTACTCATTGAGAAATCGACCCCGGCCCTTCTGCATGACGAGCGAACGCTTTAACCACTAGGCTACCCTTCCCTAAGTGAATTTGAGACATTGTTTCTATTTAATTAGTGCGATTGATAGCTGCTAGTCTGATAGCCAGGGCGGTCGGGTAGCCTAGTGGTTAAAGCGTTCGCTCGTCACGCCGAAGACCCTGGTTCTATTCCCGACATGGGTACAATGTGTGAAGCCTATTTCAGGTGTCCCCCAGTGTGATATTGCTGGAATATTGCTAAAAGCAAGGCGTAAAACCATACTCACTCCGATAGTCATATGCATTGTGGTACGGACAAATCAGCAGAGTGCTAGAATGGCTTGAATCAAGTGTAGCTGCCCTTTAAATATAAGGGATTTGCAATTTACTACCTGGGTACATTTACCTGGTCATTAAAAACAAAAAAAAACAGAGCCTCTTTGATATTTTCTGAACTTATGTACTTACACTTGTCTGAAACCGATACCAATTTATTATACTATTTCCCCATGCCATGTATATGATCTCCGATGCACAAATTATTTAGATTCATAAATATAAATGCATTTTAAATATACATATTAAATTATCACTGGTCTATTCATTGTAAGTATTACGCTTAGACTGGAAAATCCCCGAGCACCCGTGCGGCGAACGCTGTACACAACTGATAGGGATTGGTGCCCGCTCCACCGTGCGGCGAGATGAAAGGCTTGTGTCGGGCAGGTGTACACACAAGCTCTGAACGCGCCAGGTGGAAGGCCGCTCCGCCACAGAGCATCTTCCCAGTGCCATCAGCACGTGGATTTACCTGAACTACCTGGATATATCACAAACATATATACTGGTCACTGTCAATCAGGTAAGTGAAGTGTTTCTTTCATGGGTCGTCATTGTTTGCCATGGACTATCTTCCTACTGTTGTCGATATTTAACACTTAAATCAAAGTCGCCTTCACGGGTGCACTGGAGCATATCTTCAAGCATGTCCCAGGAGATATATCAACAATATATGCACAGGTGTGTCTATACCTGTATAGGTGGTGTAGTAAATACAAAGCGCCAGGTATTATATCTGCAAACACATACGCTATATATAAATATGAATTGTAACAAATCCACATTGTTTGTTAAATCCTGTTGCAGGTCCATAACTCAAACTGAATACACCTTAACGCTTGACAAAAACGTATTATTCAGACAAACATTCGTACACAAATGATACGCTATATACTTGAACTCATTTCAGAGAAACCACTTGACGGTGTTAAAGGAACGTAACTTAGTTTAAAACAACTAATTGTTAGTCATATTTCTGTGTATAAAACATCTTTGGTTAATTGTAGCCAATAACACGGAGGCTAGTGCCATCATATATTTCACTTTTTTTAGATCCATGTTCCGGGGCTGGTACATATGACAATGATTATAGTGTGCTATTTATTAACACGGTCGTTTAGCCGGTATGTACTGCGTGACGACCCGGAGACGATACATATCTGCCGTGTTAACAACTAGCACTTGTTCCATTAATATAAGTACAATCTTAGCGTAATCAGAAACCTGAACATACAATAGACTTATCTGCTTGATAAATATTAAAGGGGTTAAGTATTAGACGTGATTTGGCTTGTTTAGCAAGTGTGCCAAGGCAGGCGCTTCAGTCCACTGAATCTAGGGCTGTAGTATAGCTGATGCTACACTCCAGCGGGTCTGTTGCCGTGTGTAACTTACTCTCTGGTTGGTGGGTCTGTTGCAATGTTTGGACCACTCTCTGGTTGGTGGGTCTGTTGCAATGTTTGATCCACTCTCTGATTGTGGGTCTGTTGCAATGTTTGATCCACTCTCTGGTTGTGGGTCTGATGCAATGTTTGAGCCACTCTCTGGTTTGTGGGTCTGTTACATTGTTTGAGCCACTCTCTGGTTGGTAGTTCTGTAGCAGTGTTTGATCCAGTCCCTGGTTGGGTGGCCCTGTTGCCATGTTTGATCCACTCTGTGGCTTGTGGGCCTGTTGCAATGTTTGATCCACTCTTTAATTGTGGGCCTGTAGCAGTGTTTGATCCACTCCCTGGTTGGTTGGCCCTGTTGCCATGTTTGATCCACTCTGTGGTTGGTGGGCCTGTTGCAATGTTTGATCCACTCTCTGATTGTGGGTCTGTAGCAATGTTTGATCCACTCTTTAATTGTGGGCCTGTAGCAGTGTTTGATCCACTCCCTGGTTGGTGGGCCTGTAGCAATGTTTGATCCACTCTCTGGTTGGTGGGTCTGTAGCAGTGTTTGATCCACTCTCTGGTTGGTGGGCCTGTAGCAATGTTTGATCCACTCCCTGGTTGGTGGGTCTGTAGCAGTGTTTGATCCACTCTCTGGTTGGTGGGCCTGTAGCAATGTTTGATCCACTCTCTGGTTGGTGGGCCTGTTGCCATGTTTGATCCACTCTGTGGTTGGTGGGCCTGTTGCCATGTTTGATCCACTCTCTGATTGTGGGTCTGTAGCAATGTTTGATCCACTCTCTGATTGTGGGCCTGTTGCCATGTTTGATCCACTCTCTGGTTGGTGGGCCTGTAGCAGTGTTTGATCCACTCCCTGGTTGGTGGGCCTGTAGCAGTGTTTGATCCACTCCCTGGTTGGTGGGTCTGTAGCAGTGTTTGATCCACTCTCTGGTTGGTGGGCCTGTAGCAGTGTTTGATCCACTCTCTGGTTGGTGGGCCTGTAGCAGTGTTTGATCCACTCTCTGGTTGGTGGGCATGTAGCAGTGTTTGATCCACTCTCTGGTTGGTGGGCCTGTAGCAGTGTTTGATCCACTCTCTGATTGTGGGTCTGTAGCAATGTTTGATCCACTCTCTGATTGTGGGCCTGTTGCCATGTTTGATCCACTCTCTGGTTGGTGGGCCTGTAGCAGTGTTTGATCCACTCCCTGGTTGGTGGGCCTGTAGCAATGTTTGACCCACTCTCTGGTTGGTGGGTCTGTTGCAATGTTTAACATATCCTGACGTTACAGATTTCTGTTGCAATATTTAACAGATTCTCTCACGGCAGTGATTGTGTTGGTTGTAACATTTTGACCTACCGTCAAGCTGCTGTTTCTCTTCAGTTTTAAATAACCAGGGCCCCGTTCCACAAAGAAATCTTGGCGCTAAGGTGATCGTAACTCCCATACTTTAACACTGGCTTACGATAGTCGTAGCTTTAAGATCGCTTTGTGGAACGGTGTCCAGTATCCATCGTGGAATCATAGAAGAATATACCCTGTTACTATTCCTTACCAATTTGATTTGAAATGCATTAATTCAGAACTTACCTAAGAATGCAATACCAACATGACGTACAACTTCGCCAACAGTTTCCAACATTCGCAATCTACACATTCACGTTCTGCTTTCAGGGATCGGTGCTTATTCCGCCTTTAGAGATAGCACAAACTAAAACATACGGTTTGCCTACAGTGGCTCAATGAATGTAATGCACTTCAGGAAGACAATACTCGCACCTGGAATGGGTGCAGGGTACTTTGTTTTGTCTCCTCTGTGTGGAGGGGTGAAGGCGGCTAGGCGACACTACACCCACAAAACAAACACGATATACGTTGTCAGACGTTTGACGAAATTCACGAAACAGTTTGTTGACGGAAAGCTCGGTATTCGACAATAGGTTGGTTGGCTTATCTCCCAAAACGTTTCTAATTGTTCTGGACGAGGTTCGAGTCAATTGCCATTCAATCAGGCCATTCAAACAACACTCCATTCGTCTGCTAACTGAAGGTTTGTGATCTAGATAAACCTAGCAATGGATAATTATCCCGTTTACGTGGAGACAATATGTCTGTTTCACACAAGAAATATGAAAATGCCAACCCCCTCCTCCCCCCGAATCCCCAACATCATCAACTTTTCTACTCGATGCTCATCCCGGAATTACCAATATTACTTAACACAGATCTCAAAAGTATTGAGAAAATATTGATTTAAATTTAATTAATGACAATAATATCGAAAAATATAAAATGTATAAAGGATACTAATTAATCATCGCGATATTTCGCGAATCTATTTCAAGTAGCGAAGACTATAAGCTTCCTAATAACTTAATAATTGTATATTTAATCAAAGCAGGATATTTTATATCGTAAGGCCTTATTTCAAATTTTAATTGTATATTAAGATTTTTGTCAGTATTTTTGAGTTATCCCATTATCAAGTGTGTGTGTGTGTTATTTTTATTTTGTGTGTGTGTGGCGGGGATTGGGGTTGGGGTTTAGTGTGTAGTGTGGTCGAATGCCGCCTTATCATAATTACTGTAGTCGAACGGACTGTAGTCGAAATGAACTGTAGTCGAAAGAAGGCTCCACCTTCCCCTCACAACAAAAAATATATATCCTGGATTCACTGACGCGGAACATCCGTGCATCCGGTACATGGAGGTTCTAAGTCAACATGCCCCCAGGGTACTACGAGGGGAAAGTACTTCCCAGTAACATATGTTATCGACTGGAATGGATCGGTGGTCCCACACTGTGGCAGGTAGATGTCGCCGTGCCCTGTGTTCTGGTCGTTGCTGATGTCTCCAGGAACTGGTTTGTCTGGTCCAGACTCGACTATACTGCCGCCATGATATAGCTGGTATATCAGTGACAGCGTTCACTCGCTGACTTTACAAACATACTTCAATAAACAGCACGTGTGAACAACATATGCATGTGAACAAGTCAATACATTGAAGGACAGGTTATTTGGTACTCAGGTGTTTACAAGTCACACGTGTCTTGTCATGGCGGTACTGACGATGGGTGCATTAGGTGCGCGATGCTTTACAAGGTCACGTTGAACGTTGGCGCGTGTCATTACGTGTGAACATCATAATTATGTATACATTGCAGTAAAATGAAGCAGAGGATATTTTGTTTGTTTGCTGTTTGATGACAAACCAAGAATCATAAACAGGGATAATCTGGGATTCGAACCCCGATCTGGCATCACTGCACAAATAATTGTCTCCACACAGTAAGCCAGTACATTAACAGTGTTTGTTTCTTGTTTAACGCCGCACTCAGCAATACTCCAGCTATATGACGGCGGTCTGTAAATAATCGAGTCTGGACCAGACAGTCCAGTGATTGACATCATGAGCATCGATATCCACGCACTTGGGATCGATGACATGCATCAATCAAGTCAGCGAGCCTGACCACCCAATCCCGTTAGTCGCCTTTTACGGCAAGCATGGGTTGGTGAAGACCTATTCTACCCCAGATCTTCATGGGTCCTCAATGCATTAATGCAGTCCTTATGAAACAGGCTGTCAATACAACTGAAACAATCCACGAGCATAAAAAATAACATGACTATGCATTTAACTAACCTAAAGTACATTTGTAATCCTAGACGGTGTCACTAGCAAATGAAACTGGATACAAACCAAATGTTTCCGACGTAGTTAAATGCACCCCTTGAGAACCAACACGTGTTATCCTTTCAATATATCAATCCGGCGGCACAAAGAGGTATATAACTTGTGTTAAATATGACAGATAATCAATGAATGTATTGACTGATAAACCGATAAACCCTTAATGAGGAAATATCGTTCATCAATACTGAACATCAAGCATGGCAATGCAAGAATCAATGACAACGGCTTTTCTTCACATCTAACCTGTTAATGAGTGAGTGAGTGAGTTGGGTTTTAACGCCGCTTTCAACAGTATTCCAGTTATATCGCCGCGTGTCAGCTTAATGTGGGAGGAAAGTCCGAAGTGATGCAAGTCTCAGACGGTTACCACTTCGGGGAAACCCACGAGCAGGGGGGTATGGTGCTGACAAACCTCGAAACATAATCGGGGCGAACCGGGATTCGAACCCACAATCA